ATAAACGAGAGTGAGGCCCATCTCTTTCAAGGAGATAAACCGATCCACCATAGCTCGAAACTCGCCCTCTAACCGAGTACTCTCTCGAATAACCCTAGCCGATAAAGAACAATATCTACCAAGCGGAATGTGAGATGCGTCCAAGTCGAGAAAAGCTACCACGGTAGAGTCGAACTTCGTGGTGTTGCCTGAAGAACGGATGACCGCGCGTCGCAACGCGGCAAAATTATAATTTATATTTTTCCTCAACTAACCTCTACTAACTAGTAGTAGTGGCGAGCAAGGGTCGATCCCACAGGGAATGTGAATTAAATTGTGAATTTTCTTGTATTAATTGAAATTATAAAAACAATAAAAAAGGGGGGATTGTGATTTAATAGCTAAACTAACTAAAATAAATAAGATCTAAACAAATAAAATTAAAATAAAAATAAATAAATTAAGAGAACTTTCTAGTTCACGGTTCCGTCTACACCCTCGACTGACTCGTCTAATCAATTTTAGTATCAAATCTCGCTATCTCATGAAATTACTAGCCCTAGGCAACGACACGGTCAGTTACCCGAATTTTTCCTTATTTTTAATTTAACCACGAGACGCTCGACGATTAAACCTGACTTCTTGTACAGTCCGGAAAAACGCTTTCAAGATTTAATACAATTAGCCGCTTTACGAATTAGAAAAATAGGCTAGACTAATTAGTGAACTCAACCGCGTTCGTTCACTTAATTAGGCCGTGTTATCCCCGGTAGTTACCATCTTCCGGTTACCTCTTATGAATTAAACACAACAACAATTACGGATTGTAGGCCTAATTCAGATGTAGATATGAAAAGCCTAATCTAGGTGATCAATCTAAAAAAGACTAACACATCATGGTTAATTATTCAAAATAACACAAGCAATTCCAAAGAGATAACTTAATAATCAACCACGAAAATTAATCAAACATCGTCAAGTCGTAAGGTTCGACATCACCAGAACTAGAATAAAAACTACTCTAACATAATAAAATAAAAGGAAAAAGATAATAGGGAGAGATTAATTATCTCCCTCGTGTGCGGGTGCGGTCTCCCTCCGCGTTTGATCGGGTGCCTCGCGTCTTCAAGCTCTATTCGTGCGGCTTTCTTATCTGCTTTTTCCCCTTTCCGTGGCGGCTTTTGTTTTTAACTGCCGTAGAATAATGTCTGCCAGGTTGTGTAAATTAATTCCTTCTTTAATAAATATCTGCTGCGTGAATGGCCTGGCTTTCTACATGATCTCGCAAATAATTCCTATGGCTCCAATGCTTGCGTGTCTCTCTACAGGATTTTTTAATAAACCAAATTCTTGACCCAATTTCCACTAAGCAGCCCAAACTCTTCCAATTAATTGATCTTTAATCTTCTTTCACGTTTGGGCTTAAGTTGGGCTGGTGTGGAGCTCCCATGCTGGCCCACTTAATTCTCGTTCGGAGTCACACTCATGAAAATATTCCAATATTCTGAAAATAACCATAAAAATATCATAGCACTTAAATCCATCTAATAAATAAATAAGTCGAAAAACATATAAGTGCGATAAAAATTAAGCATATAAAAATACGCTAATAAATATATAAAATACACACTTTTGTCGACTAATCAACGGATAGAATGGGAATACTCCTCCAACTATGAAACTCCTCCATGACCGACATAAGGCTTGCAAGTGCCTCTTGAGTGCTCATCAAAACCTCTCGGTGACGTTCAGTAGGCTCAACCATTGTTGGAAATGAAGTTTCGGTCCTCAATGTACAAGGTTGACCAACCAATTGGTGTTCATATGATGGAGAGGATGGAGAGTAGAACTCGATTTCTTCTTTTTCGGATATGGAAGCCATTGAAGCACGAAGGGATTGATTGAACTTCTCCAATGTCTCCATAATTTCGTCTAAACAGCTTGGAGAAGCTTCTCGAGTCGGCTTGGGTGGAGGTGTCGCATCAACAAAATCAGGAAGCAGGGGATAGTAGTGAGGCGTCTCATCGTAATCCAGACTGTAATAACCAAAATCAACTTGAGATGTAAGGTAAGAATGGCTCGGGCCATACCCATGGAATGTAGAGTATCCGTCATATGAATAAGAAGGTGAATAGCTCGGATACGGATGGGGCGGCTCTCCATATGAATGCATCTCCTCATGGTAGTTGTCGGTGTATCCACGAGACGAGCTACCGGCATAAGAATAGTCGTATGGATCCATCGGGCCTCCTCAAGTGAAATACCTCGCACAAGAACAATAAAACAACCCAAAGACACACAAGGCAAAGAAAAGAAAACACAAAAACACAAATAGCACGACACGATATTTACTAGAACACACATACCAAAAAGCAAGAGAAATCGCAAGTAAGGAATAAACAAGGGAAACACGCAAAATTAAGCAATGATCACATAAAGCAAGCGAAACACGTAAAACAAATGAAAACTAGATAGTAAACTTGGCGTCCTACTCGCCTTCCCCAGCAACGGCGCCCTTTTGTTTGTAGGTTTTAGCCGAGTACGGGATAAATCCCAACCTCGGGTCGTGTCTCTCGAGGAAGGTTGTTCGGAGCTTTATTAACTATCTAGTCGTCAATTCACATAACTGAAAATAAGGTCCGAAACATGCTACTCGTTTGGATGTGATTGGAATTAAGCTAATTTGCGCTAAGAATTGAAAGCAATTGATGAAACGTAGGAGATTTGGAAGAAAAGGTTCGCACTTCGGTTGCACGGAGTCTCCATAACTCAAGAAAACAAAATAAACAAGAGAAAACATGTGAGCAAAGTGATCCTAGGTAATCTAACACGAGCTTTCTACACTAAATCATCACGCTTTAAGCAAAGTCGAGACCTTTATACAAGATAAGCACATATTGAATTTCTAAAACACGTAAGTAAGCAATAAAAATAAAGCAAGTCCTAAAATCGAGCATAGTCAAAAAATTCCGACCAAGACACCAACGTAGAAAGAAGGCAAACAAACTCGAAGTACTAAGCCCTAATCAAGGTACTCACTCTCCTATCGCAAACTCGGACAAAAATAGTGCATAAAGCTCAAATATTGGATAAAAATGAAGTCGCCGGAAAAATTGAGTCATGAACCTCCAAACACGAAGCTAGAGATAAAGGTATAAAAAGAGAGCTAATTTTCCAACTAAAAAGTTGGAAAATGAGATGGTATCCAAAAATACAAAGCACAATGTCTATTTATACCTACACTACAAACACACACTAAAAACGCACACATTTACTAAGAAACACTCGCGACGTGGCCAAATGACTCGCTGGTCGCGGGCTGGCAGGGCGCAGCACTCGCGCAGGCGCGGGTATAGGTGGCAGGGGAGAGCGCAAAATGGTGGCACTCACGATGGGACGGCTCGGTCGACTCTCGGACGGTTTGGTCGGCTCGGACGGTTCGAACGACTCCTTTTCCCAAGCTCAACAAAATGGACCTAATCAACATAAAAAAGACGAGAAAAATACGGCAAAACACAAAAACAAATAACGAGCACAAAAATACACGAAATATGATAAAATGGACCGGTTGACACTAAAACGAACCTAAAAAGACTCGGCTAAAGAACATAAGACGCACGAAAATAAGCACAAAAACACAATAAACATATAGTGGCAGATTTGACATGCATTTCTTTGGTTGATTCTTCCTCTACCTTTACTTCTACCTGACCTACCTCCTCTGAAGTTCTGATTTTCTCTACCACTAAATGAGTTTGGAGGATAGTTTCCATCCTTCTTTGTAGTTTTAGAGGTGATATTTGCAAACAACAAATGATTCTCCCTTATAGTAACACTACCAGCAGACTCCAATCTTGACTCGAAGCTTAAAAGTAAAGCACAAACTTCATTTAGAGTAAAGGAGTCAGGTTTAGAGGTAACTGTTACCACCACTGAATCATATTATGAGCTAAGGACAACAAGGATGTGTAAGATTTGATTAGTTTCCTTGATTTTTTGTCCAGTAGAGGCAAGGGAATCACAACACAGCTTGATCATGTTAATATACTCCCTCATAGTGAGACTTCTTTTCTTCATTGCGGAGAGCTGCAATTTATATTACATTTGTCTTGCTAAGGACTGACTCAAGTAGTTCATCTCAAGAGTCTTCCACATCTCATGAACAGATTCAACTCCAACAAGAAGCACAAGAAGGCTATCTGAAAATAGAAGATAAAAGCCAAGAGGCTAGAAGCTGATCTTGTCTCTAGTAGGCAAGATATTCTGGATTGAGCATTAGATCTTCCGAGCCTTTCTTCTTTGTAAACTTCGGTGGAACAGAGAAAATGCCAAAGAGATATCCCTCGAGTCCACACCCCTTCACTGCAGCTAAGATCTGTTGTTTTCATATGAGATACTTATTCTCCGACAGCTTTGTAGTGATGATCTGAGCCTTAGGTTGAATGACTTGAAAATTTGAGCTTGAGTTGGTCTGAGAGAGATTTGTATGAGTAATGGTAACAGGAGATGAGCTCAAAGAGCCTTCCATGTTCAAATCGCAAGAGCAAACAAATAAAAGATATATTTTTTTTTTATGCAAGAAAACGGATCATGGCTCTGGTACAATGAAAGGTTTCATGAAAATAGAAAACATTCTTCCTTGAAGATAACCAACATAGTTTTAGTACATTGCAGCAGCTATCATTAGAGAGTTGTTACAAAGTTTTTATACTAAGGCAAGAAACAAACCCTAAGAGTAAAGGTGACTCATCACAAAGGATTACAAGCATTAAATGCAAAGCAAAAGGACGTGGCATGTTGTATGGAAAAGGTGAGACATATGTTGTGGAAAAGTCTTCATGTGCCTAGTGCATATGAGCCATATTAAGCCTTATGTTTAACAAGTATCAACAGACCACTACAATTCCTACGTGATGTTGCCCAAACGGAACGATGCCGCAGACGAAAGGCGCGACGCCATGATCGAGGCGTTGTAGCGCCAAAGAGAGGCGTTGGGGCACCAACTCGCGTATCTGAACACAATGGTCGAGGAGATCAGACTGGCTCAAACAAACAGCTGCACACAACGGTCGTATGAACCGCACGCCGGACGAAATACGTTTGCGGTGGGGAGGGGGTTAGAGCTGGACGCGGTCGAGGTACTCGCGGAGCACCCTGTGCCTGATCACCTACGTCGTTCTTAGATGACGATGATCTTGAGTAATTATGTTCAGTATGATTGCGGCGCGGGACGAGGGTCAGTTCGCCGATGATCAACGTTGGATGTCATCATTTCGAGTCGAAATCCTCGAATTTTCAGGGGCTTTGAGGATAAGAAAAGGTAAAGTGAATATGCGAGTATGCCTCTTTTTATGACAAGGGGTCGACCTAATATGCGGGTTCGTCTATTTTTTATGACGAGGGGTCGACCGAATATGAAGGTCTCCTATTTTTATGTCGAGGACCTGTCGCGGAGAAACACTTGACCGGAGATGTTAAGTGTTGCTCCCAGATTTGAGTCCCTGCGTGGCAGGGCTCAGACTCACGCTAGGCTATGGAAAGATGAGTTTTTCTCCGATGGTCGCTTGATGACCACATTGATGGATGTGTACCCGTGCGTGCAGAAGGTGGCAGTGCGTACAAGGTGTTTGAGGAAATGCCATACAGGGACACCGTTGTTTGGAACATGTTGATTTCTTGTTGCACGCGCAACGGGCGTACCCATGCTGTGTGGCCTTGTTCGATAGGACGAAGGCTCTAGTAGAAAGAGATGTTGGGCTCTTCATTGGGAATCTTTTGTGAAAGACCGGGGAAAGCAGCAATGGTCGGATTGGTCGATTTACTCATGGGTTCTGAAATCTAGTGAAAATTTGCGACGGGGTGAGCGTGGAGCCCATTGGAGGTCGAGAGTCTTATTGGTATCTGCGTCTCCCCAACAACGGCATTCGCGCAAAGATGTCGTCTTACATTCGAACATCGAACGCGTTTAGTTTCAATATTTGGTGCCTTCCCATGGTGATAATTCTGATGGAAACGAGATTGTGTCGGATTCGCATTGAGGGCGAATCCTTTCAAACATGATCGTTTAGCACCATTGATTTAATTTTATTTATTTTAATTATTTTCTTAGAATTTTAATATTTATTAAGAGCATCCTAGATTATTTGATAGGAAACTTATTTATTTTATTATAGCCATTTACTTGTTGGATAAGATATTTACTTAGAGTTAGGAGTCTATTTAAAGGCTCATGTTCTATTGTTTTGGGCTATGTTTTAAATACCGTACTGTACGGGCCGGTATTACCGGTAATACCGGTGGTCCGACCGGTACGGTTACACTCTAAATACCGTTTTGGCCAAAATACCACTTTATACCGGTTTTATATTGGAAAATAGCAGTTTTACCAGAAAATACCGGTCAAAATACCGGTTTATGCCATCTTTTTTAAAAAATATTTTTTAATATATTTTTATTGATTTATTTATATAAAATATAAATTCTACACTTAATTTTAATATGTTTACATTATTATTAGATATTAATTAATTTTAGTATTAATTAAAGTTTGTTTTGTACATTATTTATATTATAATAATAAATTAATTTAATATTTATTGAAACCGGTAAAATATACGATAAAACCGGTTGAACCGCGTACCATTGGCTCGTCTGGTATGATTACCGGTACGGTATTTAAAACACTGATTTTGGGATGGTTGATATTTTGATTTAAATAAAAGATATATTGAGAGTTTTCTTTTTATTTCTCCTATTCGTATACGTTTTCGCTACGTTAGTAGATCTAATATAAGAACTACCATCCTAATAATGCGATTAATGGAAATATAATAATTCACGTTAATAATGACTGCTTGGCGTCATTAGCTCATTCATGTACGAATGGCTACCAGAGATTTATTGACCCACCGCTAGAAGTGCAACCGTGATTATTGCATGACGTCGTTGGCGTCGCTCATCCACGAAATACCACTATTTAGACTTCGTGTTGTGAAACGGGAACAATACGAATTAAAAACGAGAAAGTAAATGACACAAGATTTACGTGGTTCGGTCGCTCCGCTTCCCTCGCTACGCTCGCTCCGCTCCGCTCGCAGGCATCGGTCTGCCTCTTTCCTTTGTCAATATATGAGCCATATCAACACTTTGGCCTCCGTTCTTTGTAAAAAAAAAAAAAAG